GCATCCCTCCAGCCATCCATCTTCCCTCCCTCCCTCCTTCTCTCCCTCCCTCCCTGCATCCCTCCAGCCATCCATCTTCCCTCCCTCCCTCCTTCCCAGCATCCCTCCAGCCATCCATCTTCCCTCCCTCCATCCCTCTCTCCCTCCCTCCTTCTCTCCTTCTCTCCCTGCATCCCTCCTTCTTCCCTCCTTCCCTCCCTCCCTCCTTCTCTCCCTCTCTCCCTGCATCCCTCCGATTGTTCATCTTCTTTCCCTCCCTGAATCAATTTTTTTTTTCTTTTTTTTTTTTTTGCGGAACCGGGGATTGAACTCAGGCCCTTGCGCTTATTCTACTGATCCATCTCCCCAGCCCTACCCTGAATCATTTTAACAGTTGCAATAAAGGCTTGATTAATGGTATTTTCTTTTTAGCAGACATTTTATCGAATCTGCATAATTCCTCATCAGATGTGTCTTGTGTATCTGATACAAATACTATGTATGAAAGAATTCGACTCGAGAAACTGACTTTTGCCCATAGAACTGTGAGTGTCAGCACAGATCCAAGTGGATGTAACTTTGCAATCCTGCAGTCAGACCCTAAAACAAGGTACATTTGTATTTACTAAATTTTATTTTTGGAACCAACAGTCACTGCTGTTTTATGTTTGTGTGTTTGTTTTTACTAGCTCCTGCTAAACACTTTATTGAACTATTACAGTCTTTTAGAGACTTTAGAGATTAGTATGTTACATAAACCAAACGTGCACTTGGTTATACTAGAGTTAATATTGCTTGAAAATACGTAGACACACAAATAAAACATTTGCCTTTAGTATTTTATTTTATTTATATATTTTTTTGTATTTTAGGGAAGGGTCTACAGGGTGTTCAGGGTCTCACTACTAGATCGGACTTGTAGTGATTCTCCTATTTACAGCCTCCAAAGAGCTGGGATTACAGTTGCACGCCACCACACCCAGTCTCAATTGTCTTCTCAGCGCCCCCTGGGGGGTGGAGGGTGGGTACGACAGGCCTGGGGATCGAACCCCCACCCCTGTGCCTGCTTGCAGGTGCTTTAATCCACTGAGCTATTTGGCTGGCCCTTGAAATACTCGTTTGAACTTGTATTTTTTCTAGCATTAACTTACTGAAATATAGAGAGCATTGCTTTTTATAGGAAAGCTTAATTCTTGACATTTTTGTATGAGAGGAAAGAAAAAACCACAAAAAAAAAAAAGTAAAAACTTAGAGGTTGATACAGTATTTAAGCCTTTGAGATATTCTTATGTTTTTGGAAATACCAAATTTAAAATTTCTTAGTTCAATTAATGAGGGCATCAGCCCGGGCTGCCCTCTCCATCTAATTTCTTAAATGTAAAAATTGTTCTTGTTTTATTTCTAGCCTTTATGAAATTCCAGCCGTGTCCTCATCATCCTTTTTTGAAGAGTTTGGCAAGCTGTTAAGGGAAACAGATGAAATGGACAATATCCATGATGTGACATTTCAAGTTGGCAGTAGAATCTTCCCTGCTCATAAATATATTTTGGCAGTGCGTGCTGAGTTTTTTCAGAAATTGTTTCTTTCAGATGGTACTAGTTTAGAATTTCCAGATATTTACAGGAAAGATGAAGATTCTGCAGGATGCCATCTCTTCGTAGTAGAGAAAGTCCATCCTGATTTGTTTGGATGCATTTTACAGTTCATATATACAGATACTTGTGACTTTTTAACTCATGACTTCAAACCAAGAATACACATAAGCAGAAAACCAGAAGAGTATCAGGACACTCTGAATTCACAGATGAATAAGATGAATTGCTATGAAGATGATAGTCCAAAGTCAACATTTGAAGTTTACAAGAGTAATCAAACTCATACGATTAGTGAAAGACAGAAAAGCAAACCCAAATCTTTGAGAAAAGGAAAAAGTATTGGGGAGGATGATCCTGTACGAATGCTGCAGAATGTTGCAAGAAAATTTGGCCTCAGTAATCTGAGTAGTAGGTATGACTTCCTTAATGTCTGCTCTCCTGCACCTGCCCACCCGCTTCTCCCTCACTTTGTTTTTGAGGGTGGTGTGTGAGTGTAATTCTGTTCTCTGCTAGCATCTCCACTGTGGGGCTCCCTGATCTGGACATGAAGGACAGAAACGTTATTAGTCGATTTCAGTTTACGGTGTGGGGCGAGGAGCTGACCTCATTCTGGAGTGGCAAAGCAGTGTAGTATGCTAGAAAGATCATTGGCGTTGGAAAGACCTAGGTAGTGCTGTGTATGTTTCTCAGCTCCAGCATTGTAGGCTGTGGAAAAATTTTGTTTGTACCTCGGTTTTTCAGTATGTAAAGTATAGGAACACTATTCACGTCATGATTGTTAAAGCTTGGTAACAGCATGTGTAAAATGCTAAGAGTATCTGTCATGTTTTAAATCAGATTCTTTGATATCCACTTTTTTTTTCCTTAGACTTGTAGAAGTATTATTTATCATTAGTATTATTGTACTCTTTCAGGAAGTGCTTAAGTAGCAGCATATCCTAGACAAACACCGTTTGAAAAACTTTGTAGAAGAATTGAATAAGCAAAACTCCTTTTTCACAGTAATTTTAAACCATGAATAGTGCAGTATCTGTACCATGTGTGTGCTGTATCCTACATATTTTATAGTATTTTGCATTTATTCATACACCAGTTGGAAATAGGGAATACTTTTTTGGACTCCTATATTGAGGGACAGGTTTTAAAAACAGAAGTCCTAAAGCTCTGGAGGTAGTAGAGGAAAAATTTTCATTTGAAACCCCAGAAGTTTCTCTCAGTAATCTACATTATTGAAAGAAATAAGATTCAAAATATTTGCTTTAATATTGGGATGAGAGGTGGTTTTAAAAAGAATTGTTTTCTGCTTCAAAGAATTTTTCTCTTTGGCCAGGTCAACCCACCCCAAGGGCGAGACTGGTGCGGCTTGTGGTGTAGGAGATTGAATAGCAATCCCCTGCATCTGCCTAAGCTTGCTGAAGCAGGATCTTTAGACCATTGAGTATCTCGCCAGCCCTCAAAGAATTTTCCCAAAGGGTGGGGATTCATTCTCATTAAATATGAACATGGAAGAACACTAGCCTGCTTCCATCACTGTTTGAATTCAAGGTAGTGTTTTTGTGAAATCCAGTGCAGTAGTTCATTTAGACATAGAGTTATTTTTGTGTTCATATTCATATGTGAAAAGAAGTGGCATTTTGGCTTTAAGAACAAAATTTTTTAAAAGAACTCAACTCCAGTTTGACTTTGATTTCAGTCTATATTGATTGCTAAGGGACTGTTCAGCAGTATTGGCCCCAAGCATTTAAATAGTCCAGAAGACTTCATATAACCAGAGATTGCTGATTATATGAATTCTGCTACAGGTAGGGTGAAAAGCATAAGAATTCCAACCCGAATGCTTGAGTTCAGAGCAAAATATCAAGGTTCTTCATTTTTGCCTTATCTGTAATGTAGATGGCGGGGATAAGAATTATGTGACTATATTAAGCAAAAATTATTATTCAGCAAGAAGCATTTACAGAGCTCCACTATTTTTTCATTAAATTTGCCACTTATTCTAGTTCAATAAAATGTTCATAAGGAAAACAGCCACTTCAGACTGTAAATTAAATTACATACTTGCTATTCAGGATTTCTTGAGAAAAACAAAAACAAAAAAGAATGAATACTAATCTGTTTCCCTGGTTTAAATATAATTATTTCTTAAAATAAGTCTTATAAGTTGAGCATTTATGTTATTCCTTAAAAAGCAGGAGCAGAAAGTAAAAATAATAGAAAGCTAGAAACTTCATCAGTACAGCTTGACAGACCCTGTGGTAGCTCTTAGTGTTCAAACACTGTTTTCCGTACAGACGCCCGCCCTGGCGCTGATGGGAATGTGGTTGTGTGCAGAACTCCCACACATTTTTTTTCTTTTTTAAAAAATATTTATTTATTTTTAAAGTTAACAAAAAATGGAAATGTACTTTTTAAAGTTTCTAATACTAGGAGAATATATCAAATCATGTCTTTTAAATAAATTGTAAGTCAAAGATACAGTATAAATCTTAGAACAAAAATTAAGATTAAGCAATATTCAGAAAATTAAATACTAATTAACAATTGAACTAAGAAAATGTTTTCATGATAGCAAACAAGTACTAAGAGTAAAACATAAGAAAAATACTGGGATGGCAAATAAATGACCAGCACTCCTAACAGTTTGAGGATATGATATCACACAAAGTTCTGGTGTGTTGTAGACATGCATAATGACCATGACAATTACTGGTGGCTAGGCGTCACTTGTGGGCAGCTATTTCTTTGAAATCCACTTTGTAGACTCAGATGGAATCATGACCCATAGGGTGCAAGAGAAGTCCATTTGTAGAGTGTGCTGATGGAAATACTTTGCTGCTGAACACAAAAGAATAACTGAAAGACTACTATTATATACCTCTTATTCTCCTGTGTTTAATGTTTAATTATTTGCCCTATTTGGTGGGTTCTTTCCATTCTTATTCATGGGGCTGTGATCAATTTGCTCCCTCTCTAGAACATCATTTAGTAGTCTGTGTAGGCTTGGCTTTGTCATCATGAAATTCTTTAGTTGTTCTTTGTCATGGAAGTATTTCACTTCTCCATTATACTTGAAAGAGAGTTTTGCAGGATAGATCAGTCTGGGTTGGAATTTGTTTTCTTACAAGACTTGAAGTACTTTGCTCCATGCTCTTGACTTGATGGTTTGTGAAGAGAAATTTGCTGTTATTCCAGTGGGTTTTCCTTTAAATGTGATGTTTCTTTTCTTTAGTGGCTTTTAGTATACTGTTCCTATGCTGAATTTCTGGGATCTAGATTATTATATGTCTGGGTGTGGTTTTCATTGTGTTGATGTTATTTGGAGTTCTATATGCTTTGGTTACATGAATGTCAGATTGTTGCCCCATATTTGGGAAGTTTTCTGCTATTACTTCTGCCCATATTCTTTTTGTATCATTTGTATTGACTCCTTCCTTCTCATTGATTGATGCCTGTTAGTCTCACATTGTTCATCTTTATATCATCTTGCAGGTATTGAATTATTTTTTCCTGCATCCTAGTTGTTTTAAAGAGATCTTTTCTTACTTTTTTACTAGCTGCAATGGTGTCTTTAAGGTCAGAAAGTCTATTTTCACTTTCCCTCAAACGGTTTTGCCAGCTTGTGATTGAGGTTTTAATTTCCTGTATATCACTTTGAACCTGTTTCATAGATTCTGTTTCTTTCCTAACTTGTTTATTCAGGGGTTCCATCAATTTTATATCCTGCTCTATTTTTTTATCATTGTATTCTTTAGAAGCACTTAGTACTTCTTTGATTATAGTTATCACTAAATTTTTTAGTTCAGAAATTATTTCTGATCTGATTTCTTCTATACCTTTCTGCAGTTGTTTCTTTCCTTCCATTGCTGTTATTTCAGAGCTATCTGGTGTGTGATTTCCAGTTTCCTCTATGCTAGTGTCTTCTGCAATTGTACTGGGTGGACTCAGGACCTGAGACTGCATTTTGTTCCTTCTCTTTGTCATTTTGTATACCACTGTCTTCTGACCTTTAGTGTAGAGCTTAGATAGAGTTATTACCTTAGCACCAGGTCTGGATCTGTGAAGTTCAGATTCCTCCAGTTGGGTGTTGCTTGAATCTGGCTAGGGTCTGGCTGCTGTGCTCCACTTCTTCCTGCTGCAGCTGTTGGAGTTGAACCCTTCTGTGTCACTCTGGCAAGATGTTCTGTTCCTGAATCAGCTGCGTGGGTCTTGCCTCTAGTCTTTTTGCAGGGAGTTCTGCTGAACAGTTCAACGCCAGGCCTGCGCTCTGGGTCTATTCAGAATCCAATGGGCCCCAGATGGTCTCATTCACACACTGGGCCTGCGCTCTGGGTCAATTCAGGATCCGTTGGCCCCAGGTCCTCTGACTCGGGTCTGCACTCTGGGTCTATTCAGGATCGGCAGCCCTGGACAGTCTCACTCACTCGTTGGGCCTGTGCTTTGGGTTTATTCAGGATCCATGGGCCCCGGGTCGTCTCCACTCTCACACATTTTGCAAGTGGAAAACTCACTCTTTCTGTATGGCTCACATCTTGCATTTTTATTCAGCTTTCTTCCACCACATTCCCTGTATCACTGTCCCTGTATCACTGTTGTCCCATCTTCCTCTGTATCTGATATGATAACAGCAGACAACTTCTTGCTTTTTGCACACCATACGTTTCCTGGCCTTTACCTTAGCCACAGAAGCAGCAGCTGCAACTGAAAACATCAACAGTTGCTTTCTCTTTTTTTAAAGGCATTTATTTTATTTACATATATCAAAACAGTGTCTATTATGGTGGGCTGAAAATATTTGTGTTTTATATAAAAACACGAAATTTATATACTAAAATCATTATAAAATTAAAGTTTTTGAGTAAAAATTAAATACATTTCTATTATGCGCTAATTTAAAAAATGAAGGCCGGGGCTAGGGAGATAGCTCAGAGGCATAAGCACCTCCCTGGCCCTGCATGCTGCAGTGGTCCAGAACTGGGTGTGGTGCTGCACACCTTCGATCCCAGCACTTGGGGCTGGAAGGTGGTGGGGTGGGTGTTGAGGCAGGAGGATTATTGTGAGTTCAAGACCAGCCTGGGTTCTACAAGAGTGAGCACAAAGCTGGCCTGAACTGCATAGCAAGACCCTGTCTCAAAAAAAAAAAAAAAAAAAA